AACTTTACTTACTTACCCAAAAGTGGGAAATAGCATTAACTTCGAACGTCCTGACGATCTGCCCATCGGTGAGGTTGCATATTTCTTCGCCCGATATAACGCCTGCATTGTTGAAGAGAATATCCACTGTTCCAGCCTTTTCCTTCACAATATTTGCCGTTTGGTAAACGATATCCTTTTTACGAACATCTACCGTGAATGTGTGTGCTTCAGCCCCCAAATCTCGTACTTGTTTGGCGGTTTCTTCATTACCTTCTTCATTCATATCCCATAGCACCAGCTTCGCCCCTAGCTTGGCAAAACGATGAGCAAACGAGCGGCCTAGACCGTGTCCAGCCCCGGTGATCAAAACAACCTTACCGCGTACATCCTTCTTAGGATACGGTACAAATATATGGTAGAAATCTGTCGCCAGTGCTACACAAATCTTTATGATTAGAACAAGAATTTCAAATAGAAAAAACATGATTTTACCCTTTCTGATTTAGAACTATGAATTACTGTCTAGAGCGAAGCACCGGGTTCGGGGAGGATCTACTACCACTCGCTACTAGCTAGCACCAGACACGCATGCACTGGCTTGCGACACAACTGGATCATACGATTTGATAAAGTATTTGAGTGGGAACGAAAAGTGGGTCAACTATAATTCTAACGCGTTTGACCTTGAGACTTCAAGGTCGAAGTCTATATAACTTGTGTTTGGGTCATACATTTTAAAGAAAGAGTCAGTCGAGTATTTACATTATTGATTCAGTTTGTAAACTATTCTCTGATTACACATATTTTTTTTTTCTGATTGTCGGCCTACTCTACACGTAAGCAATCAGGTGGATACATAAGGTCAACCTGTACTATGCATGTGTTAGTACGTGGCATGGGCGGCGGAACCGGCGGAACCCCCCACTTTTTGGCGAAAAATATATAATGTCTGGAGAAATTTGTATGATCGGAAATGCAAAAAAAGAAGGAGGGAAGAAGGAGAAGGATGGGAAAGAGAATGTT